TATGATTTTAATCTTCTTGGATTAGTTAAGACTTTTTTTGTGGCCTAACATATGGTCTATCCTGGAAAATGTTCTATGCTGTCTATAAAAGAATGTATATTCTGCTTCTGTTGAATGGAAAGGGGTGTGTGTATATATATGTATATTAGATCCATATATTAGATCTATATATAGATCCATATATAGATCATTTATGTGTGTGTGTGTGTATAAAAGATCCATTTGGTCTAAAGTGCAGTTCAAGTTCAATATTTCCTTGTTAATTTTCCATCTGGTTGATCTATCCATTGTTGAAAGTGAGGTATTGAGGTCCCCACACTATTATTATATTGTTATCTATTTCTTCCTTCATGCCCACTAATTGCTTTATATATTGAGGTGTTCCAACACTGGGTTCATATATGTTTATCATTGTTATGTCCTCTTGATGAATTGACCCTTTTATAATATTGTTAAATAATGACCATATTTGACTCTTGTAATAGTTTTTGACTTAAATTCTATTTTATCTGATATAAGTATAGCCAACCTTGCTCTCTTATGGTTACTATTTGCATGCAATATCTTCTTTCCTCCCTTCACTTTCAGCCTATGTGTGTCCTTAAAGCTAAAATGGGTCTCCTGTTGACAGCATAGAGTTGGATATTGTTTTTTTAAAATTTATTCAGCTACTTTATGTCTTTTGATTAGAGTTTAATCCATTTACATTCAAGGTTATTATTGATAGGTAAGGAATTGAATCACTTTGTTAAATTTTTCTGGTTGTTTTATACATCCTTTGTTCCTTTTTTCCTCTCTTGTTGAATGTTGTAAAATGATTGTATGATTGTATGGTTTTTGTCTTTCATTCTATTAATGTGGTATATCACATTTATTGATTTGCATATTTTGACCCATCCTTGCATCCCAGGAATAAATCTCACTTGATCGTGGTAAATGATCCTTTCTGTGTGCTGTTGAATTTGGTTTGCTAGTGTTTTGTTGAGGATTTTTGCATCCATGTTCATGAGAGCTATTAGCCTGTAATTTTCTTTTTTGTAGTGTCCTTTTAGTGTATCAGGATAATGCTGGCCTTTGGAAGGATTCCCCTTCTCTTCAATGTTTTGCAAGAGTTTGAGAAGGATTAGT